CCCCCAAAGAAAATTCATTCGGACTAAGCACAATTCCATGACATCAGCAGTGCTGCTCAGAGACGCTTCTGCTGTGTTAAGTCGATTTACTACGTTCTGTTTCATCGCAGGTGGATCCATGCATGCGTGTGTGGAGTCTGTGGGTACTGGTATTCGAACAGAGTCTCAGCCAAAAGGTGCATTCAAATGACTGGGGAGTAACTGGAAGGTGATTCGGGGTCGCCTCCTTTGAAGGACAACCTGGTCATCCAGGGTCTACCCAATCCCCACACCGCAAAAGGGTAAGCTACTCATGGGTGCGCATATGCCAAAAACGGAAGTGCAAATCATGTTCCCATTAATGTATTGTACGCAGTACCTTCAATGAAGATGAAGTTGGAGGGGGTGAAGTCCAGACTGCTCAGAGGCCATTTGAATGTAGTATATGTCTGGGCTCTTGATCACTATAGAGCCTTTGGTCCGTGTGCTTAAGCCTAATTCTTCTGGATTTTCTCTACAGTTTTTTTTTNTTTTTTTTTCGCTTCCAAGAGCAATAGGCTTAGCACACACAACTCCACCTTGGTTCGTTTTAGAACCAATGTTTACATATATCATTGATTAGACTTTCAGGCGCTCCCTCCGTAGTGATAGTATTCTCTCCCGGATCGTCAGTACTTTGACAACAAGCGTTGCCCCAACCCATCGTGGTATTTCCGTTCGTGCACTGAACTTTTTAGTTATTGATCGCTCCACATTTATGCCTTCTAGATAATGGGAAATTTCTTATCTGACCAAAAACTATGTCCTGGTTTTGCAGTCTGATAACTCCATGACTCTTACGCGTTCCCTCAGCTTGACATCTTCTGCGATGTGTTCCTCACAGTGCAAACGTTGCTGCTCAAGTCACAGGAGTTTACATCAACATTCTGTAAACATGACGAACTCTTCAAAGACTTTTCATATGAGACGTAAGGCTTCGTCTTGGGTAATTGAAAGCATGATGGGTGGATCCATATGTATTACAAGAAGACGATGAACACAAAATTCAAACCATTTCATAGATTTTGCATAAAACCTGCTTTATTTGATGATCCTACGTAAAATTATGAGAGAAGATTTTATAGAATCGCTTCACCCTTCTCTATTTCCCAAAAAGTTGAATAATGTCCATCCCTTAGTTATATGTACAAGAAACTTAATGGTAGATGGCAGCAAGCAGCTCGCAGATGCCTATGTAGGAAGCCCACATTAAATTGAGGGAGCTTCCTAAAGAGAGAAAATTGCAGTCTTGCCGGTAGTTTCACCACGATTATTGTTGCCTTTTCGGACTTTCATCTTCAGCTTCAAGACTCTGATCGCTGATAGGAACCTCGTTTCTTTGCAAATTACAATCCGGATCATGGAAATTGCAAAGTTCAGCAGATTCCTGCCTGGGCTTTGCCACCTCAGGTAGTCGTTCAGCAGCGACACCAAAGAGCATTTCGTTTCCAGCACGTACACACTGCGAAATAACACTGTCTATCACGTCCCTGATAACGATAATTCCCCGATGCCGCTATCAATCTCACCGATTCCGAAAAATACACCGAACAAACACATTTGCTAGGGTAGTCTCTCGAAAGTGATATTACGTCGTTTTTGTTTTTCGTGTGGAACTCGAAGGCAGGGAAAAGTCTAACAACAACGGGACATGTTCGACTGGAAGTCGATGTGTTCGACCAAATTTCAACTCCTGATTTGTTTCTCAGTCAGGCCGAGCAGTACTGGTAGATAGGTGTAAGAATGGAATGTGCCAATTTATCGAGCCCTCTACGCGATCGACTTCTTTTCAAGAGCGTTTAATCAATCGAATGCACATTTTCTTTTCCACATACTATAGTTATTCTGAGTTCGGCTCCACCAAGACGCTTCTCAGCACCAGTCGATCCCGACAAGACTTGTTCCAAATAATGGAGGACAAGCCAAATGAGGATTCTATTCGCTCCGTCCCCACCGGTCACCTAAGCAGCACTCCTAACTTTTACAGCAAACCTGAACACCTGAAAACAGTTTTGCGCATGTGCATAATTCATAATATTAGCCTTGAGTGTTCGTCTTCTCTGAAGCTCCTGCTAGGATTCATGGGGATACCCGACGTGTTAATGGGACGTTGCTTGCTATGATGGAAAAACGTCGCCTCGAATGTACAGCGCTGAGCACCTGATTGTGGCAAGGTCAGCAAAGTGATACTGTTCTGCTGTACACAACAAATTTCGTCCAGCTGATTGGAGACCTTTCCGGAGAACCTGCCGAAATGAATTACTAGTTCGCGAAGAAACTAAGTAGCCTAGTGAGACATAATACTGCCCTTTCCTGCGAAGTTCCTGTATATCGCACTACATGAGAGTCTGAATGAACACTTTTGGGTCACTAAAGGTGCAAACTACGACAAATTCAAGATATCCTTTATGAGTTGATAGTAGTTGTCGAAGAATAGTGCATCGGTGGCGAAGAAAGCGAATAAAATTGGCAGAATTCGGGAAATATAAGACCTCTAAAAGTATTGAATGCAGTTATGTACGAGACGAGAAACGAGCACGACGAAAATCCTTCGGAAGAGGTATGTGGACGAGATTTCAGTTGTTGCAAATGCGTCAAGAGCTGCCTTCATTGAGCCAAATATGCCCAGAAATACGATCCACTGTCGTCATGGGACACTGTCACGGTAGTTGTTCCAAATCCCAACATCCATGTCCCTTCGATCCAATGGCGCCACATGTGGCATACTTGGCCGCCACAGGTTCATCTTAGGGAGACTATTTTTCATAAACTGCGACTTTAAACTGGCGTGAAATGTATTATTTTCAGCTTGAACCATGAAGAAACTAATAACTGTGCGCAAATGATTCCTCAACCTGAAGAAACCATTCAGGAATTTCAAGGTAGCTCCGAAGTAGTAGCTCCTAGTGGAAAAAAAGGTTATATTGGTGATTTATTCGACTCGCAAGGAATCAAATCAGCAGAACATTAGCAACTCTGAGAGGTCAACTCGGGTGGGATATGCCATCGAATCAATTCACGGAGATTTAGGAAAGGCCTATAGTTCGTATTGATCGACCTGAACGGAATGGTGGTTTACAGTTTTCTAAATTTCAATGGGGCGGAGGTGGTGTAGTGGCAAGTGGCGCACTATCTCACACACNATTCCCGGATCGCTATCCGTCTAGGCCAACCAGACCTTCCATCCCCCCGGGGTCGGTGAATTGGTGTACCAGACTCGTGTGGGAGGATAAAAGCTTTGACTTGTACATCGGCTGCCCACCGCAAGTCATTGTATAGGCCACATACGCATTCATTATGCCACTACGTTCTGAATGGAAGTCGAGTGCGGGGGCACATCCCTCAGACGGGATTGATTACGCCAAAAACTTTGCCCTTTATCCCTTACTAATTTTCAATATTTCATCAAGAAAAGAGTAAATGACATTTCATTCCTTTTGAAAACACATACACCTACTCCAACCCTCCGCCTAGCAATCGTTTATAATTCCGCTATGAAAGGCTATGTGATCGAGCGTTGATTAAGTTTAAAATCAACGAGAGGAACACTATAACACTGTAGCAGAGCCCGCTTCAGTTTAGGGAGGCAAGGTTGGGTAGGACCCTTCGCTTCGTTTCGATAGGACACATCACTCCTGGCTACCACACAGATGCACGGTAGCCTTGATAACAATATATTACGGTACGCTACCAGAAGCTCAACAGTCATGCAGGAGGGGCTTTATCGCTGCCTAGTGAATATGGACTTTTTCAACAGTGGTTGAATTCCTACATAGATTACTGATAACAGAGCATCGGCTGATCCAGTCCAGCGAACCCTATCTAGCCCTGCGAATGCCTAATTGTAAGACGTCACAACATTTTTTTTCGACCTTTTGTCCAGAGCGAGATGCATTTCCTTTCACAGCTAGTAAACGCATTAGCATCAGTCCCTTTATTCCTTCTGTCGCGTAACTGGCCAGAACAATAGACATCAAGATAAGCCCCAGGTATGCCATCGTAACTGAAAAAACTGACGACTATCGACCAACGACACACTACACGCTGAATGCTAAATGCATGAGAACACAACCGCAAAGCCACAAATCTAGTGACGATAACAAAACGGAACTTGCAGTGAAACGATGACTATTCCTTGGACAATTTCACTGTTTTCAGTTGCAGGACTGAGTGGTGAAAATAGTTCCACCACCACAGCGTGGGGTTGAGTGCCGTGCAAATTGGAGTGCCCGACGCGTGCCAAAGAGAAACTAGCCAATACAGGTTAGAAGGTCTAAAAGCTATTCAGCCATGGTAGCTACATGGCCAGCAAGTAACATCGTTGAGAGGATCCGCGAGGGAAGATACCAAGGATCTGATTTTTATTCAGAATTATAGGACAGTATGGTTGGGTATTGCACTATTACAATGACTTGTGAAGTCGAGCCGATGGATGTGAAAAAGAAAATGTTTCCAACCTTCTAGATGAGTATGGTAACATCAAGACGATCCTGTAGAAATGAACATCTTTGCCTGCCTAGACGGTATCGAATATCAGCGGTATTGAATCCTATCTCAGAACAAACCCTCCCGTACAAATCTGATGACATGAGCCAAAAATGAAAAGAAACGCTGTAACCTGACGAGAGATCGGCAGAATCTTTGCGATGATCAAGTTTGGTTGATACCTACGAAAGCACAGATCTGTAGCAAACCGATAATGTTCGTCTTAGGCTCAAATCTTGATGCCTAACTTAAAGAGCATTTTCCGGTAGCGATTTGCAGTCCACAATCTATCTCAATGAGAGTGCATGGCACTGATGGGGAAGCCAAAAATAAGGCTTCACCCTGAAGGAACTGAATAGTCCGATAAAGTTCGAGCGTTATGCAAACTAAGGAACGCGAGAATTTATTAGTTACTTGAACTGGTCGATCAAGAAAGATTACATGGTTTCAAACCAGTTTTTTTTACCACTTTTGCACAAAGCGCTAGCAGCGAAAAGAGCGTGTCATTCCATTCGTCGGCGCAAACTCTGAATTCAGCATGAGTGATCACTCCCAACGAATATAATAATTAGCCAGCTTTTAAAACACTTTTGAACATGATTAAACTCTGAGATTTTGTACCTGCAAGACATCTTTCTTTATTCGGAAATCGGAAAAGGCCGAAAAAAGGCTACTAGTCTGCTATTTTGAGGCTTGAACAAAGTAAAGAAACATTGAAACAAAGCAGAGATTAACAATCAGTCAAGTCAGTAAAAATCTATTTCAAGTTCTTTTATTTCGCAGTCCATTGAGCAAATGATGGACCTTATTTGGTGTGGTCGTACGGGCTTCTTAGAACGAAATCGAAAACCTTACCTCAATTGTGGTAGCGGGCCTTCCGGATAATAGAACATCGTCTCAGTTGAACAAATGCACTGAGCAGGACACCGCTGTCCTCTACCACCGTCGTTCTACGTTCTAGAAGAGGACACGGTAGATGACGAAAAAAGTAACTGCACCACAGAATTTCTCTTTCTCCGCGAGACTTGCACCGTAGAAATGGAACCAAAAGGAAATGAAAACAATGACGTACAATAATAGATAGCCTTGACGACGACTAAATGGAGTACTGTAACATGAGCGATAAGGTAACGAAAACGCTAATACAACGAACGATAAGTGAAATATGTATGTGGGAACACTATGGGGAAAGGCACAGGGAATAGGCCATACAGAAACTCCCAGATTATGTCGGTTTGTTAATGCGCAAGTAACATATTAATATAATTAGTAATCACGAAAAGAGTAATAGGTCCTAGCGATGGTCAGAAAAGGCTTGGACTTTTGTGACACAAGGTCAGAGTACAAGGTACACACGGTGAATCTACCGATCCCCCGATTTGAATGGCATACATAAAGAATTTGTAGGAATTCCTGAGAAACAGTAACACTTCCTTATACAAATTTCAAAAAGGATAGAAACATTGAAATGTACCACAATAATTCACTGCTTGAGTAACCAGAAGGAGATCACGTTTATCAGAGAGCTCTCAGTCGATGAAATACCACTCACAACATAGGTTGATCATGCAGATGATCTTATCGCCTACCACTGAGAATAACAACAATTAGCTGAAGGAAATTTCAATACTTATTTGGAGCAACCAGCTCATTACCCCTTGTTAAAAGACAGTTTACCGAACACGGAACCACATTGTCTAAGGGAATCGTAGGGTTAGGTGTGAGCCGGTGACGAACCGAAGAAAATGCAGTACCGCCAGAAGTAACTGACGAGTAAGACGACAGCAGTCGAACGAGGGGTCTACCCAGAATTCGACTCTTCCCGCGCGATNAAAAAAAACCTGCTCGATAGCAAAACAGAGCTGTGTGCGTCAACAGAAATGGCCTAAAATGCTGTAAAGGGTTCTTCCTCTAGCAGAAAAAAACTTCGACAAAAAGCAGGGTTGTCAAAACATTCTCTCTATACCTCACAGACGCTACCCAAGACTCAGTTACAATTCCATGTCACTCATATCGCCCACTTTCATGGCCTTTGTAGTCAGTGTAAGCGAAATAATAGCTGAGTTTGATACACGATTCAACGTGCTTTTTCTAGACATCAGATTATCGGTACGGTGGTTGGTACCATTCTGCAAACGCAATGCACCACATTCCACTAACATTTGCTATCAAACAAGTTGGTTTTTGTACACCCTATTTTTTCTTTCGAATAAACTGTAAGCTCGTGAGTCACTAGATCCTAAGTACGTTCCAGATTGATTTGAGGCATTTTCAGCAGTATTAGAAAAAAAGCAGAGGCATAGAAATCCGGAAAGAAGTTGAGGAAGTCAGTACGAGGAGAATGGTTTGGAACGAGAAGGCAAAATCTGATGAAACGGTGCAGTAATCAGAATTACCACAACCGATGCACCTATAGGTGCTGATGCTGATTATTGCAAGCAAAAGAGAATAGATCGTTTGACAATCGTTCTACCTGATTGAGATTCGCCAAGCATCTGAATTATACTTGAATTATTCGTTGATTTGATAGGGATTCACAACAGCAACTTACGGTAATTATTGCTGTGGTAAGTAAGATCTACTCGTCACCTCATTCCTGGTTCTAACTAACTGGACACCGGTCGAAGGAGAGTTGAAGTCATGGTAGTGGGGGCATGCGTGTGGCAGCCACTTGCCACAAAGAGAAAAAGCGGTGAACGAAAGTTTGACGACGAGGTGAAAAGAACAGGTGACAGAAATAGCTTCAAATTGAGACAAATTTTTGGGCATTGGCAATGGAAACATCACTTGGGACAGCTGAAAGCGTGGAATGGTTTCTCGCGGTTTGCTGCTATTATACAGCGTCTCCTTAACCCATTTGGGAGACGGTCCATGTGCTCTACTTCTACTACATTCTTTATGCGAATTCAAGAAGAAAATCCAGAAAATACAGACCAAGAAAATAAGGAAAAAACCATGTGCATAGGGAACGCCAAACTTCTGCACAATAATTTACTTCCACTCACTATC